TTTTTGTTCCAAAAGCGGACATATGTATTTTCAAATATTAATTTTGTAATAATTTCATGTATTTCTGATATCAGAATGTTCACAAGATTACTTTTGAAGCATTTACTGAAATTATAGGAAGTGACATTTTTATAAAAAGGATAATAGCAGCTGTGTACAAAAAAATCAATTTATTTCAATTTTTCTTGCATGACACATGTCCGTCTTTGATATGAAGCCACTCATTTATAAACAACTTTATTTTACTACTAAAAAAATAAATAAATCTTTTATTGTTGTTACGATTACTTTAGTTATTTTGTATTTGCCAATAAAACAGTACTTGGATTGAAACATACAATACATTAACAAATCTATGGTCTTCTAATTATTTTTGTTACGTCTAGAGCTTAACAAGGGATAATTCAAAACCCTTAAGTCACCCTTTCATTCAACTCTTGCGCTACCTATAACCATTCGTCCTATTTAATTAGACTATATAGAACTTTTAATTTGATGTGTTCAGCCATTTGGAAAATGAACCGCTTTTATTATGGTTCATTAAAAAATGACGAGCACGAAGAACTGATACATGTTGAGAATTAAATAAAAGAAAAACGTTTTCAAATATCAGATAATTTTGTAATAGGTGAAAAAATAAATAGATGGAAGTTATCAAAATAAACGAAATGAGGAAAAATAAAAAACCATTTGTAAATAGTAATTTATAAACGGCTATGAAATTTCAACAATAAATATTAAAACCTTTGTTTTATTGTTTTAATTAATACACTTTTTTTGTTGATAAAATAGATGTGAATAGATTTTTTACTTTAAGTTACAATTAATACATATTTATATATGCTTTGGACTTTGCGTATGTAAGCTTAGCTGAATAGTAATTTTTAGCCAGTTAGCCACGGTAGCATATCTTAAATATACAATGCTGAGGAAACAGTATAATATTCTTCGACTGATTATGATGGACAAAATCTCAGGACGCAGAGAAATTGGTAGAAAACAAGCATCATGGTTGAAGAATGGATACGGAGAGAAGTCAGCTGTTTAGAATAGCTCAATAAACAATATAAAGTATAAATAGTTAACAATAAAAATCTTTAATTCCTCTTTGTGTTGTGATACGCCGTTAGCGTTCCAGATTGCCATCTTCAAAAACTTTCATTTTGTCAGCCTGATTTTGACAGTAGTTATCTAGTATCTTATTTGTTTAAATTTGCCTTGTGTGTCCTGTCATTTTTTAAGCTTTTTTATACATAGCGAAATAATCGTGTTAAAAATTGTGATGCTTGCATTAGTTGAAGTAAACTGACAACAATGGTTTTATTATAGTATTTATTAGTGATTTGATAGTGCTAAAGCTTAAGTATAACACATTTTTCAATAACTCACAATCTTAACTCAGTTGACACGTGGCTGGAAAGTGTAGACGAATTAATTTTCTGCTTGGACAAACAGAAGATAAGAAAAAGCAGCGTGCTACCACTGATCCATGCAGGTACCAAGTGGTCGCGCTTACTACATATCGAATGCAAGTATGTAATCACAGGGCGATTGTTATTTTCAGATCCCTTCGGCCAGGTGTATCTTCGTCTGCGAAGGGGGACCACGCGTCCTACAACGCGAGCAGCTGTCCTAGGGTAGCACCCCATCAAAAACCGGCTATTAAGGGCACACATGCCATGACGTATGCGTGCGTATGTGTCGTATAGGTGCGTGCACATTGTTATGGCTCTGCAAATATGTAAATGTACTACGATTGTGTTTGTACACTAAAAAACGTGTGTTAATTTCGACATAAAGCAACTGCTCATTCTACAACATAAAAAGTACCTAATTTTATTAATTCTACATTGTGATTCTACAATTTGATAAAATTTGAGATAAAGCTAACATATTTTAAGGATCAAGACTGGCGACATGTATAAACTGCCCAAAGATAAACAGAAAAATAAGTATTAAAATATTAAGATAGATTCAAAAACTGGGTTAAATTTCATCGCCAACCTTATCTACATGACATAACACGACAGACTGAAATATTTTCAAAGAAATTCTACAAGAAAAAATAGACATAAAAATCCCACTAAAACAACCACAAGAAAAAGAAATAGCAGTAGAAACATTAACAAAAAATTCAGGAAGGTACATGGGAATCAATGAACGAAAACGGTTCCATAAGGATTGTCCAACAATAATAAGAATAAAAGTATTAGAAAACCGAAAACTTAGTAAAAAATGGTATTAAATTCGTTCACCTAAAGACAAAACCGCAAGTGGTTTAATACATCGACAACCGGACTATGCAGAATAGCAGCAAGCAAAGTTAGGATAGCCATGTTGATCGCCAACATCCGGAACGGATAGGCACCGTAAGAAGAAGAAGACAAATCCAAATTGAACAGAATGTAACAACATATTACTCATTAATTACCGTACTTAAATCAAAAATACTCTCAATACCAGCAAAAATAAGAGTGTATAAGACAATAATTCGTCACACAATAACGTATGGAAGCGAGACATGGACTCTGAACCAGCGGGAAACGACAAAATTATTGTTACTGGAAAAAAAGATACTTTGAGCTATCTATGGGCCTTGCAGAGAAGAGACAATAAGAGAATGGAGAAGAAGATACAATGATGAACTCCAGACAGTATATGGATTTAGTACGCTACATTAAAGCAAACCGAATAAGATGGGCGGGCCATTTGCTAAGATTGACTGACGAAAGACTCCTGAACACCACATTCTGGGAAAGGCTCGATGACAGAAGGTCAGTTGGTCACCCAAGAATTAGAAGGAAGGACGCAGTAGCCAGTGATCTACGCAAAATGGGAATACAGCTGCTCAGGACCGACAACAATGAAGGGAAATAGTAAACGCGGCCAAGAATCACATAGAGTTGTAGAGCCAAATGATGATGATGATGATTAAAGCAACATAGCAACGCCAATTTCTAACATTAACTAGAAAATTTGACACCTTAGCCATATAGTAATTACGAATTATGGAAGGCTACAGATAAGCTGAAGCGACTACAAAACCAAATTCCATCTATCGGAACAGTAGATTTAAAATGGTTAAAGACAGATCACTAAAAAGCAGACGTTTTGGTAAAACACTTAGAAAAGGTATTTCAGTCGCTAACAAACAAAACAAATGGAGATGACGACGTCATGGATATTTAGACAGTCCTAATCAAATGAACCATCCAACCAAATGGACAACTCCTAACGAAGTAAAACGTCTAATGAAAAACCTCAATAAAAACAAGTTACCTGGACGTGATCTAATAATGACAAACGTATTAAATAATCTACCCAGAGAAAGAATAGTACGTCTAACGCAAATCATAAACTCGATATTAAGAACAGGCTACTTTCCTACAAAATGAAAGTTAGCAGAAATCATTACGATTCCAAAACTAGGAAAACCTTCACATGAGATTACATCCTACCGACCCATCAGCGTATTAGTGGTTGTGTCCAAAATCGCAGAGAATCTCATTGCAAATAGGCTGATTATTGAAAAATAGAACAACAATATTATACCTAATCATCACTTCGGTTTTCTCCAAAAACATGGCACTGAACTGAATAAGTGCATAAATTTTTACAAAAGATACAACCAGCCTTTCAGGAAAAGAGCTTTTGCAAAGTCATTTTTCTGGATTTTAGTCAAGCATTTGACAAGGTTTGGCATCCAGGATTACTGTTCTAACTGAAGAAAGCAATACCTCAGCCGCTATACATGATATTAAAATTATACCCCGAAGAAAGACTATTTTATGCAAGTTACAAAGAAAGTGTGTCCAATATCCACAACATAAATGCAGGGGTCCTGCAAGGCAGTGTCTTGGGTCCAATTCTTTACACAATTTTTACAGCTGACACTGCAATTCTGGTCAAAAACTTTGGAGGAAGTGTTACGTCGCCATGTGATGAATTCCTTTTTGTAACTTAGACATTATAGTTTTTAACTTTCAAAGATTTAACTCAAAGTTAATCTAACTATATTTAAAAGGGTTTTTACCCACATATTTAGAGGCTTCAAACATGTACATCCAGATAGCACTGATGATGGAATAGTTAGGTCTAGAAAGGTTAGATTTTTCTTTTCATGGCGCCGTCTCCTTTCGAAGGTTGGCGATCCAAATGGCAATTGTAGTTTTGGAAACTGTTGCGCGAAACATTTCTGCGGATGAGCGGTCGAACCATCTCCTCAGGTCTTTCAGCCACGAGTTCTGGCCTCTTCTTACTAATCTTTTGCTCTGTACCTTTCCTTCCAGTATAACTTGAAGTAGTTCATATATTTCACCACTCAACACATGACCTAAATATTAGATTTACCTCTCTTTGATTATTCTTAGTAATTCTGTTTGTTTACACATGCGACGAAGTACCTCAACATTAATAATTCTTTGTACCCATGTAATTCTCAACATTAGTCTGTATATATACATCTCAAAGGCATCTATTATTTTTCTATTTCAGTCCATTGTCCAACTTTCAAAGCCATACAGTAAGACAGAAAAAACGTAACATCTGATTATTCGGATTTTAAGCTGCAGAAAAGTGAAGAACCAACGGAGTGAATACTAGCAGGCAACAAAACATACCATAAGCTAATGAATCAGAAAAACTTATGCAAAAATACAAAACTGAAAATATACAGTGTGGCAAATAGACCAGTAGTTAGATACCCATCTGAGACAATCTGTCTTACAGATAAAGATGAAGAAAGATTAAGAATATTCGAAAGGAAAGGCTTCAAAAGGATTATTGGTCTTTATAGGTCAGATAAGAATGAAAAACGAAGAAATGCGAAGAAAAATAAAGTACGAAATACAAGATATATTGAAAGAAAAATACAGTTATATTTATTAAAGCGTATAGACTGAGATGACTGGCACACATAAAGAGAAGAAAAAACGACTTACTGATTAAGAAGGTGACCAGATGGAAGCCAGAAACTGAAAGACAAGTAAAAGACCTTCTTCTTAGGGTGCCTGTCAGTTCCGAACGTTGGCGATCATTCTGGCTATGATGACTTTGTTGGTTGCTATACAGAAAAGCTGTGTTGAATTCTTTCTATACCATGCTCCCAGGTTAGCAAGCCAGGATATTCTTCTTTGTACTGGGGCCCTTTTTCCTTCAATTTTACCTTGCAAAATGCATTGAAGTAGCTCGTATTTGCTTGATTTCTCATTATATGTCCCAAGTACTGCATCTTACGATCCTTCACAATGTTGACCAAATCCACGTTGTACTTCTTCATTGGTGACTTCTTCTGTTCATGGTATCCTGAGAATCCTTCTGTAGTATAGCTCAAAAGCCTGAAGTTTTAATAGAGTTCCGCCTTCAATATCCAAGTTTCTACTTTGTACAGAAGCTCTGAGTACACGTAACATTTAAGGAGCTTTATTTTTGTTTCTAGAGTGAGATCATGGCTCTTGAACACAGAGCTCATAGTCAAGAATGCACTTTTTGCCTGTCCGATGCGATATTTAATCTTTTGGGTATTGTCCCACGGCTCATTGATTATAGTTCCCAAATAATTGTACTGTGAGACACGTTCAATACTCATTTGGTTTACATATAGATTTGCTCCAGTTATGTTGTCCTTGCTGATGATTATTAATTTGGTTTTGCTGGTATTTATATCCGGTCCATATGTTCTACTTGTTTCCGTTATTTTATATTATAACGAAAGCCAAGTCATACAAACAACAATCTTTGACAATGTACAAGAAGAATGCGAAGTTATTCACCTCGATAAGCTAATCAAAGAACTCTAACTCAAAGAAAAGTAGGAGCGCCAATATTCCATCAAGAATTAAAAGCCTTGATGATGTGATCAATAACATATTATTAATTCCTATGTAAAATTTCGTATATTTTCTTCCAATCTTTTTTTAATATATTGTATTTTAGTAGTCATTAGAAATGTCTAGTGTTTGGTTTATAAAATATTTTTATATGTTATGAACACAAAAACCCAGCCTTAGATACATCCTGTATTTTCTATATTAAGTATGTATAAAATGCATATGTTTCCTTTTGTTTGTAGCAGAAAAACTTTTCCACAACAATTGTGTTTACACAACCTCGAATGTACATTTCTCAGTGTAGCACCACGCATTATTACCAGCTTAGAAATATGTAAATGAACTTCTATTAGGTCTTTTGTGAGCTCTTATTCATCCCTGACGACCCCAGATATTGCACCAGCAATTATTCTGAGAGGGGACGAGAAGAGATTGTTAGATTTGGCACAGTTCAGGTTTTAACTGCTGGTATTTTGATTTAGGTAGGTACTTATATGTATCAACAAGTAGGTATTTTATAGTTTAGGAATTTCAAGTCTTTCAAAATTATGTTTTTGGTGCACAGGGCCTTATATTGTTAACGTGAATTTAAATTTAGTAATAGTCAGACGTTATTGACGCAAAAACATCAAATTAGAGAATGAAAAAAACGAATATATATTAAACAAATCACGGATAACCTAAGTGAGAAACATGATAAAGTACTTGGATGTTATTAAAATATACTGCTGAACACTTTTATAAACAACTGAATACATTCTAGAGCCTCTCCTTGCTCTTTTTAATACTGTTACTCTATTTGGGAATTTGATTATTAAATTATTCATAAACTTTTGAGGTATTGTTTCCCAAATTGTTTGCAATGCATTAGGTAATTTTTGTTAAGTTTAAAGTGGCTATAGGATTTGGTTTACACATCTGGACATTTCTGCTCAAACGTGTTCGATGCAATTCATGTCTGGAGAACATGTTGGCCACTCCACTCTTATAATTCCATGATAATCTATCCATTCGTTCACAATTCTCGCGCGGTGAGGACGGGCATTATCGATCAAAACAAATCTGTTACCTATAGCATCAGAGAATGGCATCTATTATTGGCTCTATGACTCCATCACGATATCTTCCAGTCGTTATTTTGTTTCATTCTTCTTCTTAGGGTGCCTGTCCGTTCTGAACATTGGCGATCCTTCTGGGTATGATGACTTTGTTGGTTGTTATACGAAATAGCTGTGTTGAGGTCTAAGCCAGGATATTTTCTTCATCCTAAGGCCCTTTGTCTTTCAATTTTACCTTGCAAAATGCATTAAAGTAGCTCGTATCTGCCTTGATTTCACAATATATGTCCCAAGTACTGCAGTTTACAGCCCTTCACGATGTTGACCAAATCCGCGGTTATGTTCATCCTCCACAGTACCTCTTTATTGGTGACTTTGTCTGTCTATGGTATCTTCAGGATCCTTCTGTATAACCATAGCTTAAAAACCTGAAGTTTTGATACAGTTGACGCCATTAATATTCACGTTTCTACTCCGTATAGAAACACTGAGTACACGTAACATTTAAGGAGCCTTATTTTGGTTTCTATAGTAAGGTCATGGCTCTTGAACACAAATCTTATAATCAAGAATGCACTTTTTGTTTTTCCGATGCGACATTTAATCTGTTGGGTATCGTCCCACGACTCATTGATTATAGTTCCCAAGTAGTTATATCGTGAGACATAGTCAATTTTCATTTGGTTTACATACAAATTTGCTCCAGTTATGTTTTCCTTGCTGATGATCATTAGCTTGGTTTTGTTGGTGTTTTTTCCAGTCCATATATTCTACTTGTTACCGTTATTTTGTTCATTAAGTTTTGCAGCCCTTCTATGGTATTGGAAAACACTATTTTATCATCTATCTGCACACCCCAGGATATTGAGCTTGACTCCATTTGTTGAGATGTCTTCATCAATATCTTTTAGAGCCTTTCAAAAATGTGCTCCGAGTATAGATTGAATATCAGTGGTGAAATTATGCACCCTTGTGTCACTCCTCTTAAGATTTTGACCTGATCTGTATATTCTCCATTTATTCAGTACACCGCTGATTTATTCCAATACAGGTTAGCTATTATTTTAAGTCTTTTCCGTCAATCCATGTCCTCTTTAGCACTTCCATCATTTGTTCAGCATCTAATAGATTCAACAGTTGTGCAGGAATTTCATCAAGTCCCGGTACTTTTTCATTCTTTATTTGTCTGACGACTGCGTTATTTCTTCTGGTAGGATTTCGGGACCTGAATTTTCTTCAATGGTGGGCTCTTGTATTGTTCTAAGGTCATGGAAAAGTTTCTCCAAGTATTCTCCAAGCTTCATTAATTAAAATATAACGTCCTCCAGATAAAAATTGATCCGCCTCCAAAGAGATTGCTTGAATGTTTAATCCAATAAATTTTCATTATATCGTTGTCTTCTTTCTCTCCAGACCAATAATCTACTGTAAAACGTATACAAACAGAATATTGGTGCGTCAGAAAAGAGGCCACTTCTCTAGTCTTAAAAGCACCATTGACTGTGTTCCATCGCCCAACGATATCTGCGTGCACGTTGCTTCACCATCAATCGTGACTGTGTAACGCGTCTTTTTGCTATCAAATGACAAGTATGTAACCGTCTTCTGATATTTTGACTAAAAATCACCCTCCTGTAGCTATCTTGAAGAAGCTAATAATCCTTGACGCTGTGTATGTCCGGTTTCTTCTTGCTGCGAGGACCATGAAATGATCTTAAGCATAAGTTGTGGCTCTTTCACGTCTTCTCCCATATGTATTTGCTGCAGATCCAGTCTTCAAATAGCGATTTTAAGCTCGACTTACAATATTCTGAGACTTATGAGATTTAATCTTATAGCGATTTCCACTAAAAACAAATTTTCCTGCCTCCAAAGGACTAGTTGTTCAAGTTGCACAGTCCCTGATAGTCTTAAACGCTTATTACTAAACTAAATTTTATTTTAACCAAATTAAGTTTTATAGAAATAACAGTAATAAAGTCGTTAAAACGTATAGTACATTTTAGAGCAGATTTTTATTTACTAAAAAGCAAAAAAAACAAGAAAGAAAAAGTTGGATGTAGACAGTTAACTACTTAAAAGTAGCAGTTAGCTATCGATATTTGTTCAGGACCAAATGCATTACAATTAAATCAACAAAATAAAATATCCACTTCAAATTGTTGAGCAGTGTAGTTCTAAATGTTTTTCCATTTATTTACGATAAGAGTGTAAGTATTTACAGAAAGAGCCCTATGACAATTTTTTATTGTGTCACAAAGTTTTAACAAAAATTCTTTGTGAATTTGGGGATGTACAAAAAATAGAACAAAATTTTATTATGATTTTAAAAATCTTGTTGGAAGATCACTGGGAATTTGTCACTTCACCCTTCGATTTGGTCATGGCCTTAATGTATGTAATAGGAATGGACTTGATATAATTGAAATAAAATAAAAATTGAAAACAGGGAGAGATAAAATGACGTAAGGTATTATATACACAATTATCATAGACCGAAAGTACCCCATAATTCCCATAAATAAAACGATCTAAAAACATCCTCATTTAAATTTTTTTCTCCACAAATACATTTCAGTATATTTAACTACGATTAAAAATGTGCCAAAGTAATGATCTCCTTTCACGCAGATAATCTTATTACACCTCTTAAACCGGTAAATCACATTCCACGTCCTCTCGAACAAGTCTCAAGAATCAGGTGGTTGTTTGTAAACAAACGAAAGAAAAAGGTCTTTCACATTTACCCTCTGCTAGGAGGGTTTATTTTGAAAGAAGTTCACCTTAGTGCCGTTCTTATTGTGTGCCGGATTTAGCATAATGTGTGTCGCACCTGTTGCCCCAAGTAGTATAATTATCGTCTTTGGAAATCGCAAGTGGTATTGTTACGATTTATGTCAAGGACATTTGGGACGACAGGGTGGTACCATGACGTAAAAAATAGTTGCTGAATAGAAACTTAAACCCAGGAAAAAAAATGAATAAGTTGTTTTGATTGACGAAGGTTTAATTATTTTCAGAATTTTTTTATTATAAATCAGTTCCTTTAACATATTTTAGTTTAGTCCATTCTCGGTAAATATCAAAGAATATAGATGCATCTATATTCTTTAATGATATTTCACTTAAAGAAATATCCAGAAAAGAAAAAATGTCGCTATTTCTACGCATACCAAGTTGTTGTATTATTTCTTAAACTATAATAATATAAATAAATATTGGCCTTTTTCTCTCTTTAAATTTAGTCCTTTGACTTGGATCGTACAGAAGTCTAAGACTTCTTACACCTACTGTATAAAAGAAACATACTAATCAATATTATACAAACCATCGGAAACATCTACTTCCATAATCGAATTGAGGGAAAAATAAATGGAAAACTAACACAGTGTATACCAGTACAAAGCGGAGTCAGTCAGGGTCAGCTAGCTGCTAGGCCATACCTTAGCCTCACATGAATCTGTAGAAGTCATTAAAATCTGACAAGAATATAATAATAAATGTTTTTTTTGCCAAGCAATTCTATACATCTTCCACAACTTCTTGGCGTGGCATATTTCCACTCAGTTGGAGGTGCATACTTAAAATAAAAAAAAAGGCCCAGGAAGAAATGAAACCTTGTTTTATCAAGATGAAATGAAATGTTTTACCAAAAGAAATTAATGTTTCAAAAAATATGACATTATTCTGTTAGATGGGAATAAAAAGTTCTAGGCATGCTGCCTTTCTCTAGAGGTTTTAAAGTTAACAATGAAACTGCCGCTAAAGCCTTAGCTGTCAGCTTGAAACAGTACATGGAAGCTAAGAGAAAATCTGACAAACCAAAGACAAGGCAAAAAAAGAACCAAAGTATCGATCCTTCCTAGAAACATACAATGAAGAGAAAGTTTTTCTAAAGAGGATTCATTTGCAACCACAGCTTTGTCACTTGAAAAGTTTTTAATGTCAAATGTGTGGAAAAGACCAAAAATTTATTTCGATTATATTTTGTGAAAGTTGTTGAATTTGATGAAAGGACATATTGGAAAGTTTGACCATTCACTCCACTTTATGGGATAAATAATTAATTTAAAAGTTAATTTTATTTTTCAGTAGATTATATATCAAACTTTTAAGCACTTATCAACATATTTCTGGTTTAAGCAAAGTAGTTCTGGTAACCAAAAGACAAAAAACTGTTGCTATATACCAAATTTTACGATATCAGATAGAAAAATAATCGAAATAAATAGAATAAATACATTTTCAAATACAGAAAAATTCGGTTTTACTTAAAGCTTTCCACTCCAGATCTCTTTTTTTATGTATTTAAATGCAGATACTAACTTTTATGATTCGTACAGAAATAATGCGTGTCAATTAATATTAACCTATGTACTCTGAAATTAAATTCTCGATTGACTTAACAACATTTATTCACTTTTTACAACAAACCATGAGAAATAAAACCACAAGAAATAAAATATTAAACATTATTTCAAACTCGTAACTTAGTTTCTTTACTCACATTCATCTTCTTCCATATTTTTGTCCTCTATGACTGATAATGACTTTTCTTCTTTTAAAACTTTCTTAAAACTTCTCCGAAATTCTCTACCTATATATTTATCAGCGTCATCCTTCACTTTTCTTACGTTGTTTTCTCCTCTTCCCAAAATCGGCCTAGGAGTAGACACATTATTGCCCAGAATCGGCCTTGGACTGTTTTCGTTCTCGATCACGGACCTAATGTTTTTCCTGGAATACCTCGAACATTGAGGTTCTTTCGAATTTGAACCTGGGCTTGATTTTGATGAAGAAGGGGACGACTTTGGAGTAGCATTTCTTAATGGTGGTGGGATGTATATCGGTGCCTCAGGACTCAGTTCAGATTTCATGGAAAGCGACTGTGCAAATTATTTTTCGCGAAAAATTATGTACGCTTTTTGATGTTAAAGTGACGTTTCTAAATATATTATGTTTTCCAAGGAAACACGGATTCCATGACAAAAGTTTAGTTGAAATGCAGTCCTAATTTGAGTGTTAGCATTTTATATACGCCTTTAAGAGAAGAGTTACCTCCGATGAAAATAGATATTTTAAACCTACGATATGTAAAGATGAAACTATAATAAAGATATGATAAGACAGAAACTGAAGAAACATATATCCAAAAATCAGTTTAATTTTCATCAGATAATTAGCCAAGATATTTTTTGTAGTACACAGCATATAACAGATATATAGTGTGCCAATTGTAAAACTTACAATGGGATATATCTCACGAACAAAAGCTGAGATCGAAAAATGCTTGAAAATTTTCTAGGCTAGTAAGGGGGAACTAAAATGACATAAAAGAGAACTCATCCCATCAACCCCCTAGACCTCACCCACCACAACCAAAAAAGTTTAAACTGCAAACCCCTACTTGTGATACATGATTAAAAAGACTATAAAAATGCTTTCCAAGTGTATAAATAATAGTTATACAGGGTGAAGCAATAATTAGATAACGTTGGCTTAAATGGAAAATTAAATGAGGTTTTTGTTGAACTACAAATTTGTTAAAAATGTCAATTAAGTAAATATTCAAAGTGGGTTCTGTTGTTTTGTAAACAATAATACATCCTATTTTCAAATTCTGCACGAACTTAAATTTTGTTCTAGTAAACTGGAAATTTTGTTCTAGTAATTTCAGTCATGAGTTCACAAAACTCAGTTCGTCAGTCTGGATTATCATCGCCTAGTTCTT